AGTGGCCGCATGGAGACGTATGTGGTTGTCGTGGCAAGCAGCCAATGACGCTGGCACGCGTTGTGGAGCAACTCCTTTCGCAGGAAGTTGCACTGCGTGGAGGGCTTGGTGTGATCGTCGTGGGTGTGGCCGCGCTCGCCGCGTCTTGCGCGGGACGCTTCATCTGTAGCGAGCATGAGGCGGGTGCATTATGTCTAAGCCAAGCTTGGAAGCACGTAATGGGCTGCTTCGTGCGCTCAACGCCCCGTATCAACAAAGTGGTGTCGTGTAGACCAGTCGCCGGGGTTCATTCGAAAGCCACGTATCCAACTACTCCTCTCCAGAGCGCTAGAGCTCGGTTGCAATACACTAAATGCAAAACTGCGATCCGGTTGACGGTAGGCCTACGCTGTCGCTGCCAGCTCATGCCATTCAAGACGGTACCATCTACTACATTCCCAACTGGATTTCAGTCGAAGAAGAGCCCAGCGTCCTCGATCAAGTGCATGCAGCGGCGCCGTCCGCGTGGGTACAGCTCAAGTACCGGCGTTTGCAGGTCTGGGGTGGCAGCGTCACAACGACATACGAGCCGGAGCCACTGCCTCGCTGGCTGCAGGCGCTGTCGAGTGGCCTCGTGGAAGCCGGTGTCTTTTCGGCCAGCGAGACACCCAGTCACGCGCTCATCAACGGTGGGTCCATGCGTCGTTTCTCTACCTTGGGCTCAAGCGAAGTCCTGTAGACTAGGCCCCTGATGACGGCGTCTTGCCGCACGAAGACGGCCCGATGTACTACCCGCTCGTAGCCATTCTGAGTGCAGGCGCTTCTGGGCGCATGACATTCCAGCACCATCGTGAGACGACGCCAAGCGATGTCCCGGTTCATTTGACGCTCGACCGACGCAGCCTCTTGGTCTTCACGGGCGAGGCCTACACCAAGTACCTCCACAGCATCGACAACGTCGATGACGAGCACGGCGTCAACCATCGCATCTCGCTCACGACTCGCCACGTCCATCCACCGTCTACGGCGTGCTGAGACGTGTCTTCGTACCTCTCTGGTTGACATTCGGGTGTATGGTCTTGATCCCGAAAGACCTTGTTGATAGGTTGATACAAAGTGAGATTTTGCGATAGAGCACTCAAACACGCATACAGCAAGTTGGTCGTTCTCTCGTGGAAACAACGGCAGCGAACCAACTTGTCGCTGTAAATTGAACGGGGCGATCACGGCGCGCCAACATGCACCGTGCGTCTCTTTGCCTGACATCTCGTTCCACACTTGCGGTATGCATAAGCAGCAATCGTGCTTGTGTACGTCAAGCTCGACACAATCAATGATGTCCATCAACCTTGAAACTGCCACCACCTTTGCACCCGTCCATAACGCTGTAGACTACTAATCGAGTATCCATTCGTTCGAGATACGTCTCCAGTTTGCTTTACGAGGACGTGAGCCAAGGATGGGCAGCGATCGCGGCAGGCGAGAGGCGGCGACGAGGGTCGACCGCGAGCATGCCGCGGAGAAGGTCGTGCAAGAGCCGGGACGCGTCCTCCCGAAAGTTGAATTCACCTTGGATGGCGCTGAAGTCGTCGAAGAAGGCCTTCTCGTACGTCAGCATCTCGTAGAGCACGACGCCAAAGGCCCACACATCAACCTAGCACAAGCTAAATAAGAAGCGATAGATGACACATGACGCGTACCGAATGGTCGTAGGGCTCTTCGAGAAGGAGCTCTGGCGCCTGGTACGCCCACGTGCCACAATGGTCGTCATGGCGAGGGCGGTGGGAAACGATCGCCATGCCAAAGTCGCCAATCTTGATGTTCTCCTACGCCGCATGAGCCTCGAGTATCCG